CCAAGATCAGGATACCGTACAAGATCAGGATAACCATCAGCCTACCAAAGGAGGAACAACCAAAAATCTATCAACTTGCATACCCCACGGTTGATGTTCCCCAAAGTCGCCTCAGTTCCCCTGTCTCCCGCTTGGTTTTAAGAACACCAGCTTCGGGTCCCGCCTTGAAAATTCCAACCAAACACACCAGCGCCGAAAGCCGTCTCAACGATGCCCCGATTTGACGGGGAGCCCTGCGTCCACCATGGCCGCCACCGAGGCCGTGGTCTTCCGCATGCTCGGCGCGAAGGCGCCGAGGCCTCAAGTTGGAGGCGGCTTCGATGTTAGGAGGGGTTCTCAGAAAGGGGGGACCTGCGAAAAAGCTGGGGAGGGAGGGGAGGGGAGGGGGAGGGGCAAGGCACTCCAGGAAACCTATTTGTGGCTTCAGGTGAGGTTGTATGTTTCGACCGACCTACATTCTCAAGTTCAAAGTTCCCCTCATTCGACGCGTTGCGATCTCATGTGAGGTTTGCCCAAAAGAGGGTGCACACTTATACAGATCGAACGAGGAAAATCCCACGACGTTGCGAGGGCCGGCTCGCTGGGCAGACATGCTTTTATAGAGTTTTTTGCTGTGAGGTCTGGGGAGAATCGCGCCGAGAATGGACGCAAAGCGAAGGCGTTTTGCCACCGGCGTCCGACCGACCTTTGAATCGAGTCAACAGGGGACAACTTCAAAAACGTGTTCAGGCTGGTCGCGCTTGCGCGGCTCTTATCATTTGGCAAGCAGATATGCAGTGCTAACGCGGGTGCAATTGAGCGGGTGGGTGCACCCGAGCGCCGCCCCAGTTTCCATCTCGGGGGAACCAAGTTTCTGAATGGCCCAAGTTTCTGAAGCGAAGCTTCATCGAAGCAAGTTGCCGAACCGGTCCATAAACTCCCTGCCAACTCCACACAAATTATTCAGGCAAACCTCGAGCGACAGAGATACAATCCTGTCTTTTAATGGGCAACCGGGTTCGCCTTGTGACCGCTGTTTTAGCGTGACCTCCCAGAGGGCTCTCTCTTTTGGCGGGTTGGAAAAGCGGCTTTCTTCGCAACGCGCAAAACCGCGAACATCCGCGCCTCTTTTCACTGACGCCGACATGGACGATGCCTGTGTCGCGGAAAGTGCACTACCCTCCTCAGGGCTCCCTGTACTTCCTCCACAAGTATCAGCGAACCCGCCTAATTTGGCAACCGAGAGCTGATAAAAAGAAAAAACAACACAAGAGAGGGCGAAATCAAGGAACTGTTTCCCTCAAAGAACCTGCCCACAGATCCCACCTTTCTGCCCTGGCAGGCTGCATCTCAGGTGTCGCTTGCCTCTTTGATCCTTTCTGGTAGGGCATCAAATGCAAACCGGCTGACGGATGCAATCCGCTTTTTCGTTCGTGGCTCACTTCAAAACCGAAAACATGGCCGAGCCATGACTTGAGGCCCTTCGATTAGAATTCTGTTAGGATGCATATCAAGATCAGTTCAGAGTTGAGAATAACCAAATCAGAATTATCTCCTCGAAAACCAAAAAGCAGCGCACATCACCCTGCCTTGGACATAAAGCTCCGGACGGAGTATTTGGACGACTTAGACGTCGTCGACGCCACTGACTTGGTATCTGGCAGCAGCAACTCAGCAGATCAGCAGACTGGATCATCTCCGTGATGCCTCTCGGAAATAGCTTGATGAGTTGTGCCATCCAGTCGGTTCAATCTTGGCAACATGTTTCTCACATGCGAGTATGTATACTCCCGACCACTGCGCGAGTCCTCCAAAAACGAGCATCGCCCTTGCGTAAAACGCTCTCAGTTTGCCAACCGAACACCTCACATCCCACGCGCAAGTTTCACCACGGACGGCCCCCACAGCCACACAAAATGCTCCAAGAAGGGCTGTCAATGCTGGCGGTTCACAGTCGCTGTCCGTTTCGGAAGTTTCTGCATTTGGCTCAGATGCGTGAGCAAATCACATGTTCGACCTTTGTCGACCGATGGTCAAGATCTTGAGAGCATCCCAAAACCAATGCCATGTTTGATTGAAATGTGAATACACCCCCCCCCCCCCCCGATGACTATAGCGATGCGCATCTGCAATGGCAAAGCCGGACTGGCGTCTTTAGTTTTCATAGCAATGGCGGAAAGCCACACCTCCTTGGATTTTGATAGGGAAGAACCACCCAAGTGGTTCGTGGACATGCATCCCCTCCAGGATGTGCACCTAATCAAAAGAAACATAGCCACTGCCTGGGGCTGTCCCCACGAAGGCTTCAGTGACCAGGCCGGGAGTGCCGGAGTCATCTACCTCGGGCATCGCGCCGCCCGCTGCCCGCCGCCCGCCCCGAGCGGCGCGGGCCTCAGTGAGCCAAGAATGGGGATGAAATGCGGCTAAGTTTCTATTGGAGGGAACCCTCTTTGGGTTGGTTGAAGTGAAGCAGCCAGGAGGCCATCTGTTGCAAAAAGAATCCCCAGCTTGATCACAACCATGAAAAGAAAAGCTCGCCCGTTCCAAGACTTGACTTTTTTTCCAGGAGAAGGACAAGGCCAGCGGACGTCCACTCACGTTCTGTGAAGACCCTCCTGGATTGGAAGTTTTGGCAGTCAGCGGGATGGTACCACGCATGAATTAAGACGCAAAATGGTGCAAGAAAGACCCCACCACAGGCGCCCAGAGGGCGTTTGTGGAACGGGAAACACAAGGCATCAGCATGGATATGCATGGATCAGCTTCCCAGGAGGCACTGGCAGCACTTCAATACAGATCTGCCAGACCTCTAGAACCCCCAGCCGCAGCTGCCTTTGAACAGGCATAGAAGGCAAAAAGGCGCCTTCAAAAGCTGCGGTCAAGGGGTCAATGGCAAAAGTGGTCTCCAAGATTCCACGTCTCAGGTGACTTGATCAGTCCATGGGCAAATGCTTCTCCTCCTCCACCGGATCCGGCACATCAGCACAGTCCGAGGTGGTAGCGATGCCGGCAGCGGGGCCGTTGGTCACTGCCGCGACCATGTCCGAGATGTCCGCAGTGCACAGGGCCTTCTGGTTGCCCCCCTCCGGGCAGTCTGACACAGCCAGGGCCGTGAACTGTGAGATCCAAGCAAAACTGGAAATAATATTCATGATGTTGATGGCACACGCCTTGGGGTCAGGGCACGCAGAAGTGGCAGAGCGAATCTGCAAGATGGCGCGGACCACATAAGAGGCCGAGTTGGTGACGTCCATAACGCACTGCGTGATGTCCATGTTGCGGTTGGTGTTCGATTCCCGGAGCGCCTTCACCTTCTGGTAGGTCTCAACGGTGGGAGCGGCCCCGGCAGGCACAAACTGCTGCCAGATGGGCGGCAGTGGGCCCGAGGAGTCGGTGAGGTTCAGGATGGAGCCCCAGTCGGTGCTGAAGTCGCAGTCGTCCTTCACAGCAGCACCCACCGTGGCCATCTCGCCGAAGTTGGCCATCAGGGCCGTCCAGTCGCCCGCGCACAAGGCACCGGAGTTCACGGCGGCCCCGCAGGCGTTGGCGGCAAACGACAGGTACGATGCGATCCAGGTGATGGACGTGATGAAGCCAGCGACGCTCACTGCGCAGCCCACCGGAGTGTTGTCCGGGCACTCCAGGCCGTCGTACTCAATCGCCTTGTAGAGGAAGACCACTGCCTGGCCCAGGTAGGCAGCCGCCTGCACCGTATCAATGACGCACTCCGTCCGGATCCACGGCAGCTCCTCTGGCTGGGAGGAGTAGAAGAGGTCGTTCAGATTGCGCAGGGGCTGCTTCAGCTCCAAGTTCTCTGCCTTCTTGACGACCCTGTCGATGCCAGGGATCTCCTCCCAGTTCTGGATCAAGTCCTTCTTGCTCGCCAAGGTCTGCGCGCGGCTGCGTGAGGCAGAGACAAGCCCCACACAGCCCACGAACACCACGGCGACCGCCCCACCCAGCACGTACCACCGAGAGGACTTGAGCTTTGCGGGCTGCTCAGTCAAGAGCTCTTGGGTGTCTTCCAACTCCATGGCCATGGCGATGTCGTGCAAGGCACCGGACTTCTAGAACTCACTGAGCCAAGCTTAAGCCAGCACTGATACGTGAAGGGCTTGAATGTGGGGGCGTCGTCCCAACCCGCCGTTTTTATCTTGCAAAGAGCCATACATTTCTCTCAAACACTACTGACACTTGGGTGTCCATAAGCTGAGCTCTGGAAGGTAATTAGGAGAGATCTGTTGAGAACACAATCTCGTTGACATGCCCCTCCCCTTGCCCCGTGTCATGCCCCATTGTGAAAGAAAGGGTCATCCCACAAGACGCTTTCCATCACCCTCCGTTGACAACCGCAAGACGATTGTCCCCAGCCCAAGCCAAGTTCCAAAAGGCGAAACTTGGGTTCCGGCAAGTTGGCCCACGTCAGTCCCGCGGGGGAAAGTCCGGTGCTCTGAGCACTGTGCGGCGGCGTATCGATGCGAACCTGCGGACTGAGCAGCCAAGTGGGGGTGGATCGATCTTCCCTTCGCCCCCCAAATGACCAAGGGTAACTTTCCCCATTGGGGGGGAAGCATCATCTTTGTAGCGGTTTTCCCAGTGATCATCCCATGTAGAGGAGCTTCTGATCACCCCCCCAAGTGACAACTGCCTGACAGGCCAGAAACCACACCAAAGTCCAACTCCGAGATGCCACTGTCGAGCTCAGTCCGGTGAGCCACCAGGAATCCCAAAACCAGAACCTCGCAGCTTGTATCAGGTTGGCCAGGATTTGCCCACAAGCACCTGACTGCCTGTGGCGGGCAGTAGAAGGCACCGGCCCTTTCCCCTATGCTGGCTTAGGATCTCTGCAGCTGGCGGGGGGTGAGACGGAGAGAGCCAGCGTCCGGACTACAGGGTCAACACCATGTGGACCACCATCAGGAGCCACTTGAGAACCGCTCTTTCTAATTTCTTTGAGACTTGAGAGTAGCCTTCGGGGGTGATTTTACAGAGAAGCCAAAAGGAAACCGACCATTTTGAGGGTCCAACCTTGAAAAAAAGACACGCGCAAATCTAAAGCAAGATGGCGGTGGTTTGGACGGCCCACGTAGCGCTAGTACTGGTTCTTCTGGACCAGGCGCTCGATTTGCTCAGGGCCCATGGTTCGGAGCATCTTCCTAGGCAGCAAGTAATTCCCTGCTGCTTCGGAGCCATCTCTCTTTTTTTGTCCGACAAAAAGCCGCTTTTCTTTTTGTTCTTTTTTACATGGGCTGCAAGAGCAAGCCACCACACACGCAAAAAGCCAGCCATTAATTCATCTCGCAAGTGGATTGCCGTGCTTGAGAAGCCGCAAATGTGATGCCATGCAATTCCTCAACGCCCAGCTATCGCCTCACATGCCCTCGAATGTCATCTCGATTGGGGGGGTCCCGGTCCTGGCGTTCTTGTGCCACTTGCGCACCTTCTCGGTCTTCTTGATCACCTGCCGTGCAAAACAAAATGTGGCCGGCAGAAACCAAACCTGGGGCTTCTTGTTATTGTTTAAAAAAAAGAAAAAAGAAAAAAGAGTCACGCGCGCTGTGCTTGTTTTTTTTCAGAAAGCCCAACCCAAGGTGTTTTTATAGAATCCCAGTCCAGGAAGCGGCTGAAACAAACGTCCAGCTCTGTAGGTCATCAATAGGTCGTTCAGCCACGCCTGGTACTGACCAGACTTGATCGCGTTCTCCTCCTTCCTCTTCTTCTTCTCCTCCCTCGCAAGCCAAGAAGCGCCAAATGCGGAAAAAAAAGCGCAGAGCAGACTCACCCGTGCTTGGCGGTCCATCCGAAACCAAGAATATGAAAGACACGCTCAATGTCTGTGGCGCCTCTTTTTGGCCTTCAGCTTCTTCACTTCCTTCTTCTCCTACCCAACTCGCGACAGAGTCGTCTCTCGGACTCGTCTCTCGGACTCGTCGCTCGCCTGCTGCAGCTCCTTTGACTTCGCCTTCACCTGCTCCAGCTCCTTGGCAGGAAAGTTTGCGGGAAAAAGCGCGCCGGGCGGTATTTTGCGCTCCGCTCAGTGGCCAATGGCCTCTCCGGCAGAAAAGACTTGGGAGGTCGAATCCCGGGATTCGACTCTGCGAGTTCTTTGCGCGTGCAAGATGCTAGTGCATCGCCTGGATGGTGATTTGCTGAGCACACACCACCCCCCAAACCGGAGTCGATTTCGGCCAAACTCGCGAGAAAGCTGCCTGAGCTTAAAGTTCTTAGCCCTCCAGCAAACAAATCATACTCCAAGCCACGTGTTCCACGGCCAAGTGACAACGGGCGGAGAATGGATATCCCGACTGCCGAAAGCGCCTTGCAAGCTGCCGTCTGAGCACCAAGCCCTCTTCTGCTTCTGCCGGTCCTCAAAGGACGCCTGGCCAATGCCCGTGCCCGAGGAAATCCAGCCATTGGCACATCTCCGGGTCTTTGTTCTGGCAGGTCCACAACTTGCGCTCCGAAGCCTCAAAAAAGGCCGCCCAAATTATGCACCCAGACATTCTTGAGTGTCTCAACAGGAAACCAAAGGAGGAGACCATCCAGCGACATGCGACTTGCATGCTGCTCATAACATGCACGGCTTCGCCCTGTGAGCGCTCTTTACCCTGGAGGACGCCCTCTTCCGCAAAGGCTTTCGAGCTTCCTGGCACGGTGCCCTTCGCAGACCAAGCCAGCGGCCTCTTGCGGTGGACGAAATCCACTTCGCACCACCGTTCAGAAACCCTGGAATGATGATTCCCTTGGAAATACCAATAAACAATGATTTCCCCTGGTGTCTTAGGTGGTGCAGGAATCGTCCACCCACAGTATCTCATGTGCGGTATCTTAGTGCAAAGCAGGGAAGTCGCAGAATGTCGCAGAGTTACTGTCCGCTAGAGGGGGTGGCCAATCATTGCCAACATCCACAGCTGATAATGTGAAGCTCAATCAGACGGACTGACATGCCAAAGCCAAAAATATCAGAACTCAGAGTGAACCCAGAGCCACGTGAAGAGCCCGTCTACTTTCTCAGTAGGATGGTCAAATCTGCGTCTGACCGAAAAGAGACGCGCTTGCGTAGGAACGTGGCCGGCTCAAACCCCTCCCCCCCCCCGGTCCTTCCATTGCTTCCGGAAGGCCTGGGCTGTCCGCTTTCCGATCCCCTGAAAGTGAACAACTTTCGGTGGGTCAAATGGACACCCCCACAAAACCCCGAAAAGCTCAAAGAACTAGTGGGACGGCTGGCGGCCGCCAAGTTTGAAGGTCGAAGTCCTGTTGGAAAACACCGTGGCAGAACTTTGCGAAGCAAGACACACGAATGATCAATGGAAAGCTTTGCTTGACCGGTGCGACCTCTTCTTGCGGTGCAACCGGTCAACCAAACAATCCAAAGTCAGAATGGGTGTTGCGTCGGCACACATCAAACCTCTGTGATCACTTGTATGTTTGGTCAACATCGCACCCTGCGAGATCATCTCATCTCGCGTCCAAGGTCAAACCCCTCCGGCCATGGTCTTTCCTTGAATTAGAGTCGAGGGCATGTCTGAAATCCCACTTGGGGGGTTGATGGCAATCGGGGACCCAACAAGCCCACAGAAAGCTTGGACGTTTGGACCACGGCACATGCGACATCACACCCCACGCGCAGAAAGCCATGCCTTGCCCTTCACCATGGCCGGATCTGCGGGGGGAATACCCGCGCCTTTGTCGGGTGAAAAGAAGAACCCACGGGCTTCATTTGAGCTTTGGGAGAATTCGAACTCTGGCTGCTTGTTTGCTTTTGTGTTTGTTTTTTGGTTGACCCTGGCCTTGGAGGTATTGGAGGTATTGAACCTTTCAGGTGAGGCTTTGCTTGAGACGCCTGGCTCATGGTTGCTGACAATCGCATGGAATCCCAATGAGGGCTGACTCGCATGGTTTGTTACTATCTCGGAGCGCAGGGCACGGGTGCGATCGCTTCATGACTGGACTTCCTGCATGAGAATTCCTGGGCGCGTGCCCGAAACCGATTTCAGGGTGTGGTTTGAAGATCGATAAAAATGCAATTGTCAGAACAAGCTACAGACACGTGCCACCTTGCACATTCTGGACAGTTTCGTGTTTTTGCCAGCCACCTTTTCCTGTGGCATGTAGTGTATCAACCCAACAGCTCTTGGACCAAAAATATTGGGGGGTTGCCGGCAGTCCCATGCTTTTCACGGATCGAACTGTCGGGGTTTTCGAAACGGCTCTCGCCGCTCTCGCCGGTCTCGCCCGCACCATGCAGACCACACTTTGGCAGCCACCCGCGGCGGAAAACGCAAGTGACATGCTTCTCCAACCACTGCCACGAACCTGCGAGCGAGCAACAATGTCCAAAGAAGGCTCAAACCACGGAAACATCGAGCAAGCCTTTCTTTCCAGACAAAAGACATTTCCTCTGGCTCCGTTCTTGAAGGAATCTTCTTTGACTTGAGATGGTTGGCAGAAGGGAAAACACCTTCCCTTCTGAGCACTCGGAGAGGTTTAAACAACTTCATCGGAATGGATTCAGCTTGGAGAAGAACTCGCCCACGGAGTCGAAGGCATCCTGGAAGGATGCAGAATTCGGCGTGCCAGGCTGTTTTAGGCAGTCCAGGTGGACAATAATGCACCAAATCGAATAACAGTGCACCAAATCCCTAGGCACTGCAAGCAAAAATATCTAGATGATTCAGCCAGTTCTCTTCGGGGGGTTGTTTTGGTTCCTTTGGATTTCTTCGCGTTGTTTCCATGACCATCCGCCCAAACTCCCCAAAACTCGCCAGAAAAAGAAGAAAAAAAAACAGAAAACATCCCATTTCAAACCCGCGGCAGGCCCATTACCCCACGGATGTGACAGCTCGGGACTTCTTGATTCCCCAATCAAAGGCCACCTCAAAACAGGGCCCCAATCACATGTTGATCATTCACTGGCGGTTCCCATTGCAATCGCCACTTTCGGAGCTTCCAAGGAAGTGAAGAAGTGGCCAAGAAAACCACATGGACCAACCAGCGGAAGACACCCGAAAACCCGCGCAGGTGGCTCAGCTGCGCGCGTAGGTCTCCGGCAGCTCCTCGGCCGCGCCTGGAAGGCTCGGAGTCGAGTCGAGGAGAGCACCCGCGTCCCCGGGTGAAATCAGCTTCCCTCAAAGGAAGGGAATGGTTTGGAGCGTGTTTTTTTGTCCTTGAAATCAGCAAGTGGGCGGTTAGGGAGGGGCTTCCCCCAAAAAAACGGCGGCTTGGCACCCAAAGATAGCGTTTTTCTCCGTTGGTGTGCAATTGAACAGGTACGGTATTTCTTAGTTGGTGGTTTGGAGCCCGGTGGGTTGGTGGTTTGGATTGGTGTATTCCAGTTGCTCTTTGCAAGAATCAGCATTCAAATCCCCAAACCGCACCACCAACTGTGAAATACCTGACTAAAATGTGATAAACGAAACAAATTGAGGGTCCCCGATTTTGACAACGGTGGTCAATGAAAAACCTGAATGCAACTGCACGGGTGCAAAGAGATACTCCCCAAAAAAAGAAGAAGTTCCAAAGACAAGAAACTGCGTCTGCAGTGTGTTTTTTCTTATTATCCCTGTGTCCATCTGAGTTTTGAGGCTAGGTTCGGAAAGAAATGTTCGGGTGCCCGATGCGCTCTTTGAAGAAAAGAATCGTTGCCATCTGGAATGCATTGCAACAGCGCATCATGTATGGCATGGTCAAACTCCATGTGGGCTATGCCCATGATTCCCTCACAAGGAATCCTTGTCGTCGACCATAAAGGATTTTGATCCTGGCCCGTGTGCTCTCCTTCTGGTCAGGTTGATGTTCCATTGCCCAAGTGTCCAAATGAGCCCATAGCCCGCATCAAAAACTCGTTCCAAAAAGGGTGGTCTTGCCTCTGATTCTCCGTTGAAGCCACCAAATTTGGGCTTCAAACCCTCGAAAGAAGACGAGCCACCCATATCTCTTCGTGACATCAAAAGCTCCGCGGCACGTGCACCTGTATGCCTGACCGCGAGCACTTGTGTCTCAGACCTCCAGAAAGCACAATCTCCTTGGTCAAAAGAACGCCGCTCCAAATGCAACAATATCAATGTACAGCATCTTTGTATTGATTGATGTATTGACTTAATCTACTTACTTGTTTATCTGATGTTTATGTGTTCATGAGCTAATGTCCGCCGACATTGCTCGGCGTGTTGGATACTTACTAGAGGATACAGGATAACCCCCCCCCTAACCCC